TAGCAATATCTTTGCATGGTGTTCGACAATGCTGTAACTTAATTTCCGGTTTTTAAATTATTTTATTCAGGTACAATGATGGGGATCCACTGTCAGGTGACGATCAATCATTTGTACTTGATAATGTCTTCAATTACCACCCGGATAAAGCGGCTAAAATGGGTTGTGGAATTGATCATCTCACAGTATGTTCATCTACCCTGTTCTTGCTTAACTACGTTTTATTTAGAATTATATTTCTGTACACATTTGATTCATTGGATTAAGAATCTGTGACTGATGATTTTATTGTTATACTGATTATTCTAATATTCATTTTATTTGTTATGGAAGCTGGACGTTTATACAGATTTTCCTAAATTGTCCATTGAGTTTAAACTCCATGTGTATTGTTGCATACCTAAATTTGTTCTGCATCTCAATGGAAATTTTGAAACCATTTTTTATGTCAATTTTTATCATTAGCAAAGAGCTGTTTCACATGGGGAGTTGATTCAGATGGGGTTTAGTCGGAAAAAATCATTTTCATGTCTTTTGGTTTAGATACTCGCGCATGGCTACCAGGCTGCTAAGGTTGGTGATCTAATTTTTCAGATAAGGGGAATATATACTCATCTTTAAACATGAATTAAGACTATGGTTCATTTGAAGGGGTTTTTAAGTCTGGACAAGTAGTGATTGGGAAGAGGTTTTCTTTCATAATACTTGGAAAACATAATCAGGCTGGAATGTCCGGTATTGTTTACCTTTTTTTTAGGGACCGCTGTCTTGTAATAACTGCCATATGTTTCTTATGTAGTAAAATATTCTACTAATTTACACCGCTATTGGTATGACAGGTTAATAGGCATGGTAGTTTCCAGGACAGCAGATGCTTCTTTGTTGTGTCAACAGATGGTCGTACGGAAGATTTTTCATATAGGAAATGCCTGGACAATTACATAAGGGAAAAGTTCCCTGAGATTGCTGACACTTTCATTGGCAAGTATTTCTCTAGGAGAGGGAATCGAGAGCGGAACCCAACTCTAAGTCAAACCCCCACTCTAAGTCAAACCTCCACTCCAGAGCAAACTGAGAATGCGGAGACGCAGTAGAACATGTCTATTTCCTGGGCACGTGTCATTTTGAGATTCTCATGTAATTAGGTGTAAACATTCTGCTCCTCTGTTTTTTGATTTGTATATATTAGGCAGTTGTTAGCAGCTCCTGACAAACTCAGTGTTCTTCCTCTATTTGTTTTCTTTTTACTTTTTCTGGGTTTGATCTTAGAGCATTTTAGTTAACCTGTTGGTAGCTACTGGATGTGGTTAAACTAAACCCTTAATTGGGAGATGTTGCAGGTAAAAAATCAATTATCGATGAAATGCAGAAGTGTTACCAATATCATTCATCAATGGATTCTATTTCTTTGTTAATAATTTTGGAACTGAGACTTGCTGCCTCCTCTGATGACAGCTCAATTAGGTCTTCATCATTGCTCATGGTTCATGGCTTTGGGTTTATCTGTAAAGTGATGTGCTGCTGCTTCTGTGTGCTGGAAGGGAAATGTTTTGCTGATTTGCAAAGCAGCGCTCATACTGCCAATCACACTTCTGATTTGGAATTTTTATTTTTGTTTCTATTTTTCTGGTAAGGAATTGATGGTACTGGGCCATGATAGATAGCTGTGCAAATGAACATGAAGAACTCGGTTCATTACAGAGTTAAAGAGTCTAATGCATCCTAGTAAATACTTGAGCTCAAGTTCAGATAGATTACAAAAGTAAGTTGAATCCAATCAATCATTTCTTGAACAATTGGCTATAAAAAATATAAATAAATAAAAGATTCACCTCTGGTTAATCAGTACAAGAAATACTCACATTGGATTAGTCGTAGGCCAATATCTACTATTAGTTTAATTAAAATAAAGGAAACCCTTACAATTTCATGCATATTGGTTGTCAATCTTCAATTGACTTGGTATATCTTAAAACCGTATTTGCAGGAAAATTATTGAATCACTGTTTACAATTGGAGTTTAGTGGTAAAACTGTAGATTTTGACAATATTATTATTTATTTCTTTAACATTTTTATCCCTGTAATTTGACTCATTTTTTCACTTTGGTCCTTGCAATTTTAATTATGTCAATTTAATAATGAACTTTGTTTAGGTAGCAAAGTCCAACAAGACGAAATGATTCCGTTTTGAGTTGATTGCGAATATTTTGGAGAGACAAAGGTGCCCTCACGTGTGATGGATATTAAATTACATAACTAAAATTATGAAAATTGAAATGACATGGGCCAAATTAAAATTGAATCAAATTACGAGGACAAAAGAATATAATTAAGCATTTTATTTAAAAATTAAAAATTAAAAATTAAAGAGGAGAGAAATCAATACATAGTGTTTAGGTGATGATGATGGAGAAGAGAGTTGGGGGAGGAGAGGAGAGTGGGTGAGGAGAGAGCGGGAGAGTCAATGAAACCAATAAAAAAATAAAAAAATAAAAACATGGGAAGAGAAGAGACAGATGGGGAGATGAGAGAAGAGAGAGCTGGGGGAGGAGAGGAGAGTGGGTGAGAAGAGAGATAGGGAGAGTCAGTGAAACAAAAAAAACAAAACAAAACAAAACAGAAAAGAAACATGTGTCGTTTTTTAAGAAGGCCAAAACTTGTATCGAGGAGGAATGAGTCCTGATATATCATGAGCCAAGCATTGTCCAAAAAAAAAACCATTATCCATTTCTGTTTCTCGTGAAGCAAATACAATTATATATCACCAGTCACCGTTGTCTTGATGTTTTAGAATCAGCCATGGCTTCTTCTTTGCCGGGTCAACTCGTTTTTCCCTTAGAGAATGGACATCAGGTGTGGGAGGACCAATCTTTCATCAAGTGGAGGAAGAGAGATGCACATGTCCCTTTACGTTGCCATGAATCAATTGAAGGTGAGGAACTAAACCCATTTCAATTTCAGTTTCGTATTTGGATTAAGAGTTTTTTCATGTTGCTGGAAGTTTTGCTTTGTTTCACTTTGTCTTGTTAATTTTGGTTAATGGAGTTTTTTGTTGCTGGAATTTTGTAAATGTTTGGGATATAACTGTTAAGTCTGTTTGATTCAGAATCACATTCAATCTTCAGATGAAGAGTTCTATGAAGTGTGAAGTACTCATGTAATGCTAAGTATATTATAAATGCATTTAGCTATTTTCTTTATTATAAATTTCAGGTTCTACATGCAATATTTATTGGAAATGATTTAGCAATGTCATTTAGATGTTTCGACTTTGCAAATTATACAAACACACATTGAGTATATATAATAATTATGTATAAGCAAGCTCATCGATTGGCCTAACACATTTTGAATTTTTGTTGGAGTTTTGTTGCATTGTTTTTTGGTAAAAATGCATTTTCTCAAATATGAAGAGTGAATAGGGAAACATGGTATGCAGTTGTGAAGCAGATGTGTAGAATCTCACATTGTTCAGAAACTGCATCATGGTATGGTATATGAGCTTGAGCTTGACGTTGCATCTTGCCATCAAGATGAGCTTTTGGTATAGGAAGATGGGACAGGAATCTTGTACCTGTTCCCAAGCCTTGAAATCACGAAACAAGGTCTACGTTATAGGCACATAGAGGGATTCTAATTGGTATAATGGTTTGGGTCCATGATGCGGAACCCCCCCTCTCTAAGTTCTGTGTGTTATTTTATCTCATCATTGGCTGTGGAATCTTACTTCTTTTCTATTTCTTTTAGAAGATATCTGACGTTCGTTATGTGGTGTAGGATCTCTTAAATACTGGCATGAGCGCAGCAAAGTGAATTTTCTGGTATCCAACTCTGCTGTTTGGGATGATGATGCTGTTCCTGGAGCTCTTGATAGCGCGGCTCTTTGGGTCAAGGACTTGCCTTTTGTGAAGTCTTTGTCAGGCCATTGGAAATTCTTCTTGGCTTCCAGTCCTAGAAATGTTCCTGTAAATTTTTATGACACTGCATTTCAGGATTCTGAGTGGGAAACCTTGCCAGGTAAGCATATATGTATCTTTCACTTTTTCTTGCCTTAAAATCTGACAAACCTACACATATATATTTGGTATGCTGTGTTAGAATATAGCAGTGATAGTTGTTTCATAAAATCATTAATGAAATTTGTTTCATTGCAAAATATGTATCTATACCTGCATGCCAGAAACTTATTGCAGCGTTTTACTTCAACTACGAGTTTTCTCTGCACTGTTTCTTTATATATTCTTATTTGCAACAGTGTAGTATTGCATTCGAGGTAATTTTGTGGCTAAGTGAGAGAATTTTGAAGGCATGTTTAGTAACGTGTATGAAATGTTTGGGTTATAATGAGGGGATTTTTTTTTCTTTTTTCTGTATTTCAGTTAGCTTTTGTAAGAGTCAGCTTCACATGAGAGTTGGGATCCAATCTTAACTTCACTGTGGATTAGGTTCAAGGAAAGAAAAGGAAAAACTTCCATTTTATTGCTTGTTGGCTACTGGTTATTCTCATAGCGGATTTTCGCTATCATAAATCTGCCTTTTATTTTACTATTCGTTTTCTTTAAAGAGAGATACGCATATGTGTTAGTGAAACTGTTCAGTAAGTGCCGCTCACAAATAAGTCAGTTCTTTCCAGATAATAAATTGTGCTTTGAACTATAGGCGCTAACTGAAGCTTGTGTAATTGTGAAAATTCTTTTCTAAGTGCTTGTACTATGATTTCATGATTCCATATTTATTTTCGTTTTTTTTCTTCTCGAAAATAGACAATTTAAGAATACTTTGATAACCTTATTCCTTGTAGTGTTTTGAGCTTTAGCAATAGCATATAGAACAAATTCATGAATGATTTATGTTATAAATTTATCATGATTTTTCATGTCTAACACATGCAATTATTATCCAACGACCGTGTCTCATTATTTTGTGTTCTCTCATGAAACAGTTCCTTCAAACTGGCAGATGCATGGATTTGATCGGCCTATTTATACAAACGTTGTTTATCCATTTCCACTTGATCCACCTTTTGTTCCTGTGGACAACCCTACTGGCTGCTATAGGACATACTTTCACATTCCTGAAGAATGGAAGGGTATGATCCATTTGATTGCCTTGCTGATTGTAGCTGATTACTATTTATTGGTGCTTTTTTATTCTTTTGTTTTTATTTTTCTTTGTTGTTCCCTTTTACAGTTTGCTTACTGATCAGTATTCTATCAAACCTGTGCTACTTATATCTTGTATGCATCGAAGTAAGTTTTATTTTCCACTTTGTAATGTAACCATTTTGAAATGTAATATGTAGCGCAATATGACCTAAATTTGTGTTAATGATTTGAAATGTGACTAATAGAAGTATTGCCTCACAGATTGGATTTTCTGCTGTATGTACGTATGAATGTATGCATGCACCTATATTACAGTCAGAGACACACACACACACACACACAAATGACATTTCCATGACATCCCTCAACTCTGTTGATCATTCTTTCTGTGGGCAAAATTTTTATGACATGTTTACCATTTGACAGGTCGCAGGATTTTGTTGCATTTTGAAGCTGTTGATTCTGCATTCTGTGCATGGCTAAATGGGGTCCTGATAGGATATAGGTAATAAATACTTGTAAGAACTTGTGAATTATCATAATTATCCTGTAGGTGTTTGCTTTTATGCTATACCCTATGTCATACTTCCATTCATGGAGTCTTCTCAGCGTGTGTTACTGTTTTCTGAACATATGCATTTTACATGGAAGTTATCTCAGTCGGGTATATGTTGACAGATTAAGATTGCGCACATTTGTGAATAAGAGATAGGGAGAGTGAGTTTAAGATGCTCATGGAGGATCTTCTTTTGCAATCTACTATTTTTCACTTTTCTCTTTCGCAACATACAAATTAAAAGTTAAATATAAAACGCAAAAAGAGAGGGGTAACCCACATGGAATATAAAGAACATAAAGTCCCCAACTCTTAAAGCTGAGTATGGGTACTGTTTTGTTGCTGATAAATAATTTATCAAGTAAATACAATGATGTATATTGTGCTGAGAGTCTTTTGCTACCATATGGTTTAGCAAGAAAAGGGGCATTTAATTGTTACTAACTTAAAAATGAAGCATGGTGAGTATGACATAACTGAGTTATACTAATTACTAATCTTTGAACATAGCTTCCCTTTTTTTTCCCCTTTTTTCTGTTAATGTATTGTTTATCATACAAAGAATATGTATTAGCCTTGAAAGGAACTTTCTTTAATAAATGGTCCAGCTGCTGAATGATCTGACTTAAATATTTTGTTTCTTTTTGGCGGTGGGGTAATTCTTGGGAAGTTTAAATTTGAATTATTTGATGGTTGTTTAATCAGTTAGGAATTCGGATGTTAGTAGAGTCTTGTTCACTTTTTACACAAGGTGATAGAAAATGAATCCTAAGCATTTGAGATGGTCATATGTGCACATGTCGGTCTAGTAACTTGTATAACCGAGTACATACAACTATATCAAATTGAAGATTGTTTTCCGCTTATAAGGGATGCATGGTTTGGTAGGAATCCCCTGTGAGATACGTTAACAAACTTTTCCATATCGTGCTAGGTCAGTCAGGACAGTAGACTTCCTGCTGAATTTGAAATCACTGATTATTGTTATCCATCTGGTATGGACAAGAAAAATGTACTAGCTGTTCAAGTATTCAGATGGAGTGATGGCTCCTACCTTGAAGATCAAGATCATTGGTGGTTATCTGGCATTCATCGTGACGTGCTTCTTCTTTCCAAGCCACAGGTCTTTTTTGTCTTCTTTCTTGCCTTTATATCCTCTCTTTTAATTACAATTGGACTATATGCAATTGGTACTTCTTGGAGTTAGTACATAGTTGGCGACTGGGGACAAGCATGTATACATTGATGATTTGCATGGCTACTTTGCTATCATAAGATCACTCCATCTCTTTGCAACTCATTATTGTTCTTCCTTTCCCATTTTGCAAAATTGACTCATTGGAGGCAAAGAATTAGGACAGTTAATGCTATAATGTGTGTATGGAAATCTGACCCAGTTCATCAATGTTCTAAGCCATATTTTATTTTGATTACACATATAGATTATCTAAATTATTTCCTTATTCTTTAACGTAAACTGGTAACGTGCTGCTACCTGTACTGGAGCATTGCATAATATTAAATCCGTAAAAATAACTGATGTGCAGGTATTCATTGCAGACTACTTTTTCAAATCAACTCTGGCTGAGGATTTTTCTTTTGCAGACATACAGGCAAGTATTTATCAATCGAGGATGGATCTTTTTGTTTTTACAAAGCAATAAGTATAAACAATATTTTGCAGCTTTGTCTAGATGGTTGACTTCTTGCACATAACTGGACAATAATTTGTAACCCATTGAATCATATGATAAACTCCAAAAACAATAAAGAATACAGGAAATGTCTTATGTGCTTAGGTTTGAGAAATTCCTGTCTGTTAATGGTTTTTATTCATACTATCTGATTATATGTGCATGTGCTCACTTTTTTTCTTCTTTTGAGTATCGCAATGTCTGTTAATGTAGACTGTCATTGATTTATCAGTCAAGATTTTGGAATCTACCCTTATATCAATGTGCAATATGATGAGATTATGTTCTCTTCTCAGTGCCATTGCTCTACATGGAAAACATTTTAAAATATTGTTGTCTTGCACTTTTGACCAGGTTGAAGTGAAAATAGATAACTCCAGAGACACATCTAAAGATAGCGTTCTTGCAAACTATGTTATAGAAGCTGCATTATTTGACACTGCGAGGTGGTACAGCAGTGATAGGTGTGCTGACCTGCAATTGTCTAAAATGGATAGTATAAAGCTTAATCTCTCATCCAGCACGAGTCAGGGGTTTCATGGTTATTTGCTGGTAGGGAGACTGGACATGCCGTGGCTTTGGTCTGCAGAGAAAGTGAGGAATTATTTCTTTTTGTTTCTTCCTAGTTTGTTCCTAAGCTAAAACCCTTTTAAGCAATATATACTTTCTTGCTTATTGATATTCTCAACTTTGTTGAGTCATTGGAGTTGCCAAAAATGCCTGTCAAGTGCTGGAAGTACCCTGGCACTGGGAATATTTTAGGGTGCTGCACCGTTTAACCTAATGTGTATGTTTGTGTGTGCTGCACCGTTTTGTTTATATAACTTAGTTTGCTTTTCTCTTCTAGACATGTGGGAAAAATTGGTCAACTGTGAATATCGTATCTTGTTAAATTATAACAGTCTAAGAGTAATTAGATTTTCTCATTCACATGACTCCAGAGTTTGTGGAAATTTCTTTTAACTTAAATTTAATGCCTTAAAAGACCATGGTCGAGTCTTCTTTCTACCTTGAGCTTCAATGGGGTGATATTGTGAATACTACGTAGATGACTACAAACTTTCCCCCTTACCTAAGCATTAGCTAGGGTAAAGGGTTAGTCAAGTCATGTTGAAAGTATGGCTTTGGTACTTTCTTGCTCCATTTAAGCATAAAGTAGATGGATGAATCAAGCATAATAGTAAGAAAAGAAGTTTTGAGAAAAACAAAAAATATACATTAGATAAATCATGATATGAACTAAAAGTTTTGTGGCCCCATAACAAGAAGTATCTAAAACCTTGCTTGTACATTTGGTGGTATTGTTTTTTTTCTTTTTCCTTCTTATGGGCAAACGCTAAAGCATTGTACATTAGCTTAGGAAAAGAATATTAAAGTATTCAATCATACGGTTTATTATCACTTTGTAACACAGTGTTCTCAGTTATTAATTAGATGTTTTTCTCTTCTCATCTTTCATATAAGATCAAATGGTTTCATGATGAAGATAGAAGGAAAGACAATAAGTTCTCTGAAGAATTTTGGGAACATTTTTTCAGCGGAAAATTCAAAATTTTCGAGGAAAGTTCTGCAAAATTTTCTGCTGTTTGGTGGATTTAGAGAAGTACTTTCGAGAGAATATTTTCTTCATTTAGCAGCAAACTTTGTGTCTTTTAATACCATTTCCTTGAGCAACTTGAAAATGTAATGCTTTTGGTGATGCTTTACTAATATTAAATTATGTGAATCTAGGGTTTAAATTTATCTGCTCTCATTCCACTTCTTTATTATGCTTGTTCTTCAAAGGGAAAATATGATGATTAAAAGGGGAAAGCGCAATGGTGGGGAAGAGTGGAAGTGGTACAATTCACTTGTTTGAAAAAATAAAATAAAATTATGACCTGATTTTAGAGATTCAAAAAGAAATAAAGATTGCCGGCTATCTATTTAATGTTGTTCACTGATGACTCATTTCCCAGAGTTTATGTTACAGTATTTGCTTTTGAACTCTTTTCCTGTGTCCAACATACATATTTCATTACTGATTCTTTACCGTGTGCAGCCATACCTGTACACTCTTGCTGTTACATTGAAAGATGCATCTGGCAACCTTCTGGACTGTGAATCTTGCCTAGTAGGCATACGGCAAGTATCAAAAGCCCCCAAACAGCTGCTTGTTAATGGGCATCCAATAATAATAAGGGGTGTGAACAGGCATGAGCATCATCCACGTCTGGGGAAGACAAACATAGAATCCTGCATGGTTAAGGTAACACATACTTTACTACCCCTTGTCTTTTCTCTGCTAGCCAAGTTGATTTGCAACTGGAGTTGATGGTTCTTGGAATTTTAATCACTATTCTGTGTACAGGATTTGGTTTTAATGAAGCAATACAATATCAATGCTGTGAGAAACAGTCATTATCCCCAACATCCTCGTTGGTACGAGCTCTGTGATTTGTTTGGCATGTACATGATAGATGAAGCCAATATTGAAACCCATGGTTTTGATCTTTCTGGGCACGTGAAGCATCCTACTTTGGAACCCAGCTGGGCTACTGCAATGATGGACCGTGTGATAGGCATGGTTGAGAGAGACAAAAATCATGCTTGCATTATCTCTTGGTCCTTAGGGAATGAAGCTGGATATGGACCTAATCATTCTGCTTTAGCTGGTAAACCGCTGTTCTTTTATCATATCCATATTTTTGTTCAGCTTTGAAGGAAGTTTTAGAAAATGTTATTACTTTGTACTTGTTCGAGAATTATTGCTTCACCTTGACATATTTCTCCTAGAAGATATATTCATTTTACAGAAGTAGACAATGGGAAATCATTTTGTGGCTTTAGTAAGTTACCTTGAAATGATGGTGATGGATTTGGGTTCAAAATTTTGAAAATAAGGAAGTGATGGTCGGAACTGGCGTTCATCTGGGAATGGGCCTTACTTTAGGGAAAATGAATATTGTTGAAAGAAAGAAGCATGCACTCTAATTTTGAGTAATTTATATATAATTAATTATACTAAAGTTGGGTAAGTAAGTTAACATCACCTTTTTCTATAATTTGGGCAATATTCTATCTTTGTATTTTATTTTTCATTTTTTAAAATGTTAGTGTTTCTTATGAAAAATAATTATTATTATTATGATCACCCTCAAAATTTTGAACAGTATAATTTAAGTTGCGTGTAAGGCATCTCTTTTCCCCCACCTTTTCATATCACTCATTGTTTTCAAGACTTGTTCACTTGAATTTAGGCTGGGTTCGTGGAAAGGATCCCTCACGGCTGGTACATTACGAAGGGGGTGGATCCAGAACCTCATCCACAGATATTGTATGTCCCATGTATATGCGGGTCCCGGACATGTCGAGGATTTCGAGAGATTCAAATGAAACACGCCCTTTGATATTGTGCGAGTATGTAAATTTTTTCACTTTTCCCTTTTTATTATTGTTTGAGCAAAGTTTGTTGGTTTACCATTATTCCCAATGTTTGAAGATGAGTCAAATGTTATTTATATTCTGGCACTTCTCACCTTTGGACCCCTCCACCAATAGAGTCCAACATGTGAAATTCAACTTATATAGGGAGGTTGCAACCAATCCAAAAAAAAAAAAAAAGAGGTTGCAGTTTTTGCTCTACACCTTTACCAGGATCTCTTGCTCTAATACCATGCAAAAGTTCGTTGATTTACCACTGCTCCCAAATTCTTAAGCTATTAGAATTTGGGCCAAATGTATTCAAACCTGCTAATTTATTTTGTAAAGTTATATAAGATACCTCTGTTTATGCTCATGGCAATGCTAATTTCTTCACTTAAAAGTTTGAGAAAATAATGGCAGGTATTCACATGCAATGGGAAACAGCAATGGGAATTTACATGAATATTGGGAAATAATTGATAGCACATTTGGTCTTCAAGGTGGCTTTATCTGGGAATGGGTTGATCAGGTCAAGTATCCTTGCTGTTCATAAGAAATGCATTGATGATTTATCAACATTACATTAAATATTGAGTTTCGAGCCATCTTACACTCTTGAAACCCCTTTACTTTAATTTATTGGGCATAACCACATAACATCAACATAAAATTGAACCTGGTAAATATCATCATCATTTTCTTCTTCTCATCCCCCAACCACCAACCCCTAACCTCTCTCTCTCTCTCTCTCTCACACACACACACACATGAAATCTTTGTTGTTCAGAACCAGAAATTACATCAGGGGTAATAGATTTTCTCTTTGTATATAGGCCCTATTGAAGGATAATGCAGATGGTAGTAAGCACTGGGCATATGGGGGTGACTTTGGTGATGTTCCTAATGATTTAAACTTCTGTTTGAATGGCCTTATATGGCCAGATCGAACTCCTCATCCTGCACTGCATGGTAAGTTGATGATTTATGTTATACTTACAAGTACCTTTGTCCTTTGCGTTCTTTAAGATAATATTTGTACGTCATTTTTTAATTTATTTTCATGTCTCATTTCTTTGGTTATTGTTTTCAGAAGTCAAGTATGTGTACCAACCAATCAAGGTTTCATTTAGCAAAGAAACACTAAGGGTAAGTTTCACATAGTATTTGCTTTCATTTTATTTTATTATTTTCCGGAATACTTCTTTACCTGAAATACACCTTGCAGATAACAAATACCCACTTTTTTAAAGCAACACAAGGATTGGAGTTCAGCTGGGATGCTCATGGGGATGGATGCAAACTTGGATCCGGAATTCTATCTCTTCCGTTCATCGGACCTCAGAAGAGTTATGATATTGATTGGCAGTCAGCTCCGTGGTATCCTCTATGGACTTCATCATCTGCAGAGGAATATTTTTTAACAATAACAGCTAAGCTTTTGCATTCCACACGCTGGGTTGAAGCCGGTCATGTTATCTCATCTACCCAAGTCCAGTTGCCTTCCAAAAGAGAAATTGTTCCTCACGTAGTTGCTTTTGCTTGATACCCACTTTGACAATAAGAATGAAGTTTACATGTTTTGTCATATAAAAACATTTTTACAATTGGCCTTGATTTCCAGGTCATCCAGACTAAAGATGCTACGTTCGTCAGTGAAACTCTTGGGGATAAAATTAGAGTCAGCCGACATAGCTTTTGGGAGATCATATTGAGTGTTCAAACGGGAACAGTTGAAAGCTGGAAGGTATTCTACACCATTGTTATTTTCATTTTTTTGTTGATAAACACTTTCTTTATAAAACCAAAGTTATTTTAAGAATGATTTCCCTCCAAGTTTTATGATTGTAGTTGCCTGGTTATTGTTCTATTTTCTGTTGGGATAAGCATTGTATGATTTTTCTTTTTTGTTCCTAAGGATGTTCCGTCTCATGTAGATTAAGGGTTGCTTATTTGTTGACAACCAAACCGCTTTGATTGTACTTCTCAATTTCATTAATACTCATTTTGTTTCCTATTTAAAAAAATGGTAGGTTGAAGGAGTTCCTTTGATGACGAAAGGCATATTTCCATGCTTCTGGCGAGCACCAACAGATAATGACAAAGGAGGAGGTGCCAGTAGTTATTTCTCCTTATGGAAACGTGCTCGTATTGATAACCTTCATTATATTACCAAAAGCTGTTCTATACAGAATAAGACGGACCATTTTGTGAAAATAGCTGTGGCTTTTCTTGGTGTTCCAAAGAATGAGGAGGTTTCTTTACCTAGGTGGAAAAAGACAAAAATTGAAGTTGATGTGATTTACACAATTTACGGTTCAGGAGACATTGTTGTTGAGTGTAATGTAAGACCAAGTTCGAACCTTCCATCTCTGCCACGTGTGGGAGTGGAGTTCCATTTGGATAAGTCAATGGATCAGATTAAGTGGTATGGAAGAGGACCATTTGAATGTTATCCAGACAGAAAAGCAGCTGCTCATGTTGCGGTCTATGAGCAGAAAGTGGATGACATGCATGTCCCTTATATAGTTCCTGGGGAATGTTCAGGTAGGGCAGATGTTAGATGGGTGACATTCCAAAACAAGGATGGTTTTGGAATATATGCATCAGTGTATGGCAGCTCTACGCCTATGCAAATAAATGCAAGTTACTACACCACAGCTGAGCTTGATCGGGCAACGCATAATGAAGATCTTATCAAAGGAGATGACATTGAGGTAATTTCTTCTACATCATCAATCCATATCTTTCATTTCAGTACCAGTAGATTGTTTCTGGACATCCATTATGAGTAATATACAGAGGATGGTTTATGGTTTAGGGTCTAGGGTTTACGGTTTACTGTGTTACAGGTTCATCTTGATCACAAGCACATGGGCCTGGGTGGGGATGATAGTTGGTCGCCCTGCGTCCACCATGAGTATCTGGTTCATGCTTATCCATACTCATTCTCAATTAGGCTGTGCCCGATAACCCCTGCAACCTCTGGCGAAGTCATGTACAAAACTCAACTTCAAAACTAGTAGACATGATGGGCTCGAGAACTTGGTAATGAGTACCGAGTGATTGACAGTGTATGATGCCATGAAATAAGATGTCTAGCTCATTTGCAACAAATAATATAAAGGCAAAACTTATCAGTCTCTAATATTCTGATTATGAAACATTTGTATTTAATAGTGCTTTTATCTGAAGCATTTTAGTGGTGGATCATGCCTACTACAATCAATTTAAGCAATTTAGTACTTTACCTCCTATTTGCCACTTTACTTAACCAGTATAAGCGGCGGGTTCTTATTTTTGTTGAATTCTTCCCATCATAAGAATGCGACCACATTCATATTGACGTGGCAACTTCATGAGATTAGCCACCATTATATATGTGATTTTGTAACTTTTTCCACTTAGAATTGAAGCAAGTTTTGGTATAATTTTAGGGGATCCCGAGGCTTTACATTTAGAGGTTGTGCATTTACTTGCATTTCATTAAATCCAAACTATTCTAATAATCAAACGTCTTAACATGACACTGTTATGTTTTCCTATTTAGATTGGTGCACTAGATACTAAGTCACATCAGGTTTGATAAGGGTTTAAATTAAGTTGTACTTTGAGGCCCGAACCTTGTGAAATAAGGAAAGGTTTTAAGACCTATTAAGGAGTCCTATTTTGTTTCCTTTTTGCGTGAACCGATTAAGTGGGCTTGGAAGATTAGTCAAGTCGGCCCTCGGTGATGAGTAGAAACGACTTGACCTAGCCCTATATAAGCTTAAGGCCCTGCTCTAATCAGACACGTTCTCTAAACCTATTCTCATCATAAAGAGAGCTGAAACAGATTCTGAGAGAGAGTAGAAGTCTTGAGCCGTTCCTGTTCCTGATAGGTTTGTTGCTGCTACGGATTGGATAAGTTCAGAAGCTGTGTACTCAAGGAAGATGGCTCCAGGTACGTCTTCATGTCTTTATACGTATTACATATTTGTGTGAAAGATCTAGATTATGTAATAAAGAAATCTAACAGACACGTCATTAAACTTGAAGGCTTTTTTTTTCTTTTTCCAAAGATCACGCGTTAAATTGACGTTTAACGTTAATATCAATTCTTGAGCGTTGTCCTTCGGTGTTGAAACCGTGATCGATCAGGAGCAAATACCATCAACGAATAATTGTTGAATCTATTCACAATTATCCAAATGCTTGTTTCTTTGGTTTTAGTGAAGCCACTGATGGTGTTAAGTCATTGATTCCAAAACATTAGGTTGTGACGAACCTAATATAATCAAAACAAGCTTGATTATAAACAACGTTTGTCAAATTGGTATAATGTAATATGCATATATATATATATGTGGTTATGATTCTATGAACAAAATACAATGATAATCGAATCTCTGCATATAGGAGGGTGCGAACCACAACCATTAAAAATTGAAGGCCCCGTATAGCAAGTGAAGAAAACCCAGAGGAGAGAGTACCCAAAACCATTCAAAATTGAAGATCCCAGATCAGGGCAGTACTGAAGCACAAAATTTCAGGGGCCAAGAGAGACAGAAACACGCTCAAATTGACATTAACGTGCGCAAGTTTTGGGAAAAAAAAACCAATAACTAAAAGTTTAATGACGTGCCGTGTTTTATGATGTTAGATTATTAGAATGGTTTGGTGACATGACCTGTCCCGAATTCTCCTTTGGAACCTGTGACGAACCCTATTGCCAGTCATCTAACCAATACCGGGCCCACTTTACTAAAATAACTCTCTTCCGTGAATAACAATAGAAAAAGGCCCGATACTTCTACCAAAATTTTGGCAGTCTCCCCTATAAAAACGAATAAATCCCAAAATTTTCCATCGATAAAAGCAACACATTAAACATCCCAACTAGCAGCACACACAATGCTAAAGCACACAGTTCACAAAATAGGCATCCGACCTCAATTTCAACCCTTCATAGGCAATATCAGAGCAATCTAAGAAATTCTTAGTTACACAACCAAAGTAGTTTTCAAAGGAAATAAACAACATAAAAGTCCTACGATTGAAGTCGGAAGCGCGGGAAGAGTGGCTTGGAGTCACGAGTCACATCAAGTTACGGCCTGAGGGGCGCAAAATAGAAATTGTGAGTGGACAAACATAAAGTTTGAACATAGTTATAATCAAAAGTACTAACCCCACCGTTATATGAAAACAATGTAAAACCATGCAATAAAATCCATTATTATAGTATACTTGAATTTGAAATCATTGTAACCCATAAACCCGATATAGCATAGAATATAATAATCAAAATGGACCTTTTTCCTTTAACCAACCCCTTTATGAGACATATGCTTGTAAGAACACAATATACAAAGAAAATTCCTTATAAATATATAATTATAAAAATGTATATATGTAATCACTACACCATCAAAAAGTACCGGGAGGAAACAATCCAACGTGGGGACTATTTTGACTAGACATAGGGTAGAAACGCATTACCCAATGACTAGTCCAATTGGGGGGGACTATTGCTCCCCAGCACACACGGCGGAATTGCATCACAGTGAGGCTAAATCCCGACATAAGCTCGTAGACTGCCCTACCAAGGGCTTACAGCACACCCCGCCAAGGGTGCCTAGGTCCCGACACACCTTCGAAGAGTTACCGCATGTCAAATGTATCCAAGTATTCAGGAACAGGGGAGGTACATATAATGATGCAATCAATACCCGATATGCCTAAACCAATATTCCAAAATCATAGCCCAACAATATATACCAATTCCCAAAACAAAAACAAAAAAAATCCAATTTCCAATAATCATCTCCAAAATCCATATTCTCAAATTCACAATAATCAAATCCATACACATCCCGATAAAATCATAATCCAAAACCCAAAATCCATATACTTTTTAACTAACAATAAGTTCTAGTAAACCCATAAGATACTATAAAGTCATAGTTAAAACATATATCAAATCTCATAATCCCATAATCCCAATAAACCAAATAAACCAAGTTCTAAATCAAATCTCATTTATGCATGCAATTCCATATTCGAAAAATAATGCTCATTTAAAACAATGTCCACTAACTACAAGTCTAGAGCTGCCTGACCCTGAGAAGGTCCATCTTGTGGAGTACGTGAAGCTTGAGTACCTATTTGAAAGAACATGATGACTTAATCAATAAAAGTATCCAACCACAAACTTTAACTCAAAATTCTCATTCCCGGGACTCAAAGTGTGTGCACAACCTTTAAAGAAGTTCCTAAGGGTCCGACAAGGTCTAGTAAATATGTCCCGAACCAATCGCACGATCGGACGGCGATCAGTTCGCCTAACCCTAAAATTAGTGATTCGGAGTATCTGGGACTTCGATTCTCACTCCATAAGTTCCTACATGATCCTAGAGGTATGGGAAACAACATAATTGAAAATGGAACCGATCGAACGGTCCAAACCTATCGAATCCGGATATCTCATAATAGACGCAATATTTGTTCGATAGTCAAATGGTAACCAAACGCTAATCCGAGCATACCGCCGTGCTCGGGACGACGTGGGGAGTATATGTTGTAGCTCTCGACCTCAGTAACAACGTTTGTGAAGGAACATAGGTGAAAAAAGCAATAGAAACTCGCATGCAAAGCTAAATCCGTGAATAACATAGAGTACCAGGCAGAGATGAGTTGTTCGTCCTCAAACTGGGTTTTGAGGTGTTTATATTTCTTAGATTGGGCTAATTTTCGGATATGTTCTACTAGATAAGGAAAACTATGCTTCAAAATCAAGCCCCAAAAACTAGTACAAATTCCTTATAGTAAATGAATTATGACCCAACTTTCACCTTCGAAGAGGGAGGAGCTTCCTCTTGGCGTCAAACTCTTCCTCGACAAGTACCAAAGTATATATTACAGTGTCTCGAACAAAAATGCCCACCAGAAAAACATAAAAACAAATAACAAGAATATAAAACCCAGCACAGTTTTTAGCAGCTCATGAATGATTAAGGAACACTAACCCAAAAATTTTCAAATAAATATTCATCTAAATACAACATTGAGAAAGCAAAAGGAAGATAAAAAGTGCCCAAACTGTGGAAGAGAACATAAGAGAAGAAACAAGTACCGTGTGGAAGTATGTGGTTTGAATCTGGTCGTCGAAATGCGTTGGGAGATTTGCAGCCGTCAATCCTGCGGCAGTCCAGAGAGTGTTGTCGAGGAAGGAGGGGAAGGCGCGAGAGAGTGTGAGGTAGCCGAAGCCAGGTCTCTGGTGCTGAAAATGAAAACGGCAAACCCCAACTCTCGAAGTATGGACTAGATTAAATTGTAATCAAATTTAGGGCTTTGTAGCAGTCCCAAATATGAAGCCCAAATTTTCTACATTGGGCTGCACAACTATTTCTTTTCTTTTATAATAATTTTCTCAGGATTAAAAATGAAACTAAAGTCTTTTTTTTTCTTTTGTGATTTTATTGGCACCCCCAAAATTTGCTCTTTGCACCTCATATTATGTTTACATCTTACTTAATTTTATTAAAATTTAAATTTACTCACTACATCCTATTTTTCTTCCTAAATTGCATTCATGAACCCCATTCCTTAACTTACCTGTGTAAATCCCACCGAAATCGACATTGTTTCAGTGATAGTGCACTGAATTTTTTTTTTCCATTTTTCAATGGCTGTCCACCGTGTGTTTTCGTTTTTCAGTGGTAGTCCACCGAATCAGTTTTTTAGTGGTAGTCCACCGAATTTGTTTTTGTTTTTCAATAGTAGTCTACTGAATTCGTTTCTTGTTTCAGTGAATTCGTTTCTCATTGCAGTGATCATCTACCGAATTCATTACTGAATTTGTACTTAATATTGTTTTTTAGATATGAAGAGGACTCACAGAGTACTACTAAGGCTTCATCATCTCGACCTAATAAACAACATCCCAAAACCTCAACGAGGAGACATAAAGTGGCGAGGTTACCCCTTCAAGCGAACCAACCCCAGCATGGTCCCCTGATAAACACATAATTATTACAATTTATACCCTTAATCTATATTTGTTAGTACTTTGTTTGAATGAATTTTGAACCACTTAGAGTGTTACTTTGCATATTACGAATCCATTTGCACTTTATTGAAATAAATGCTAATTCAATTGGATTTTCTAATTTGTATGGAGAAAATAAACATCATGTTTTTACCTGATTTTGTAGTTAATATAATTATCCTTTTAATAAACACGAGATTACAATTGGTGCAGGTGCAACAACTGAAGGATGAACAAAAGAATGTGGAACAACATGCAGCCACAAGTTGAAGACCAAATGAATGTGAATATGATAAACAAAGAATGAATGGGCAGCATGGCAGCATTTCTTGCCATATCACATAATTAAATGATCAAATGAAGAGAGCCACCACGTGATGAAAGCAGAAGTAAAAAGAAAGAAATACTAGTGGGAAATTATTAGCATGTGAAGAATGGCAGCTGTACTTGAAAAAGAGAAGGCACGATGGTGCAAAGATGCTGCCAGCAAATAAAAAAAGTGAAGCTGTTGAGGCCCAAAAAATCCATGGTTGGGTCCGAGTAAATTCCCGGCCCAAGACAACATATTATTGGAAAAAGACTCAATTTGAAGAGTACAAAGTCTGCCATGCACGAGCCATATCCTACATGCCGGGCCAAAATAGAAATCTATCATGATAGAAGCTGAGATTAAAATTATAAGGATGCATTTAGCACTGTAGATTCGTGCCAATCATTCTATCAAGCGTCATACTTAAAAAGCACGCCAAGCGACATGCCATGCCAAGCAATAAATTATTATCCCATAACAAGCTTAAGTGGGCCCAAGCCACTCGAATGCCCGGGGCTTGCTTGAGTGGGCTGTGGTATGGATGGTAACAAGTTGTCATGGGGCCCATTGATGGGTCGAGAAATGGAAGTCTCGGGTCGCTTGAGGGCCTCGGGACTCAAGCCCATTTTCTTAGGCCCAAACGTGGGTAAGCGCAAGAGAGGAGATAGACCATTGCTTCAACCAAAATGGCCCATTGATCCAATTAGAATAAACTAGACAAAATAGCCCATTGACCCAATTAGAATAAACTAGCCAAAATAGCCCATTGATCCAATTAGAACAAACTAACCAAAAAGCCCAACATTTGACAAAGCCATCTCATCCATTGGATAGATCATGTGGTTGTCTTAAAAGCCAACATAATTAGGATAAAAACCAGCATAAGCCTTGGCACTCAGCTTGGAGACAAAACCACGAAGGAACTTTGGAAATCTACACGTGAGTGGCTGCTGGGGGGCTAAGGAACAAGTCCCAAGTGCAAGAATTCAAGAAACCAAGGGATTTTGGCACGCAAGGGAGGATGCCATCCCTTAAACCAACAGGCGCACCCACTTTCTTTCCTTCATCAGATTTGGCCATGGAAAGAGGAAAAAGAAGATGGGTGAAAAAGGGAAGTTCCCTTCTGAGGCAGCCGCTAAAAGAAGCCTGGAGCACCCAAAATCTCTGATTTTGTGGGATTGGGCAGAGCTGACTTTGCCACCATGAGGTAAGTCAAGAAGGAAGAGAAGAAAGGAAGAAGGAAGCTTAGCTAGGTTGGGAAGAAACCATTAGGGTTTCTTGGAGAAGAACAAACCCCAGCAACTATAAATAGGGCCTCTTCTACCCAACACAGAACAACCTACAACCTTCAAAGAGAAAGCTTCCTCTCTTGCATGCAAAACCCAACAATTTTCGTGCTATTCTTGCCCATCTTCCCTTATTTCCCCTATTTTGGCAGATTGACAAAAGCTCTGACAGAGTCACTGTCAAGCTGCCGGAAGCTACGAAAATCACCCAAAACTCTCCACCAATCCTCCTTAGAACCCTCTTCCCTTCCATTAGAACCTCTGACCTTCATAGGAACCCATAACTCTCTCTTTCTCTCTCATAAAGTACTAAACCCATGAGAATTTTGCTCTCATGCCACATGCCTCTCATGCCAAGCCCAAAAGTTTATCTGCAAGTGTTGAGGCCCAAAAAAGTCATTTTAAGGCCCGATATAAAATATAATGTTGGTCATGCATTAATCCAAGCTGTATTTTGGGAATTAATTCATTAAATAAATAATAGTGTCCATGCCATGCAAAGCCAATAATACATTTTTCATATGTCACCTATCAAGCTTACATGAACCCAAGTTATGTGGTTACGGGGCTTGCATGAGGGATTGTGGTGTGGAAGGTTACGGAGGTTCACAAGGCCCACGGAAGCTCTTGGATAATGGAGACTTTGGGCTAGCTACTTGGGAGCACCAAAGTCCAAGCCCATTACTTAGAGTTCTCCAATGTGGGTAAGCAAATGAGATATTTTCCAAGCATTTCCTTTTATCCATAGGAAATAGTCATTTTCCAAATGCCTAGCTTTACCCGTTGAAAATAAGCCTTTTCCAGTACTCCCTATTACCCATTGGAAACAAGCCAATTCTGACACTTCCCTTTACCCGTTGGAAATAGTCATTTTCCAATGCTTAGCTTTACTCATTGGAAATAAGAATGTCCCAATGCTCCCTTTTACCCATAGGAAATAAATTAGTTCCAATACTTCCTTTTACCTATTAGAAACCAAAGAAAGCCTTCCCCCTCTATAAATTGGGAGGCATTTGTCCAGCCAAAACCAGCCTCGCTTGGTTGTTGCAAGCTTCTCAACAACCATGAGAACTCATATTCTTTTCTCTTTTTGGCTGTTGCAAGCATTCCAGCAGCCATCCCAGCCATCAACCTCCATCTTTTGACCGTTGCAAGCATCCCAGCAGCTGTCAACCAACATCTCTTGGTTGCTCAAGCCCCCAGCAACCATCAAACCACTTTCCTTTCTCCCTTTGGCTGCTGCAAGCATTCCAGCAGTCATCCCAGCTATTCCTCAACCATCACAACCAAGATTTTCCTTCCTCCTCATACCCTTCCAAGCTATAAATACCATAGCCTTCAAGCCTCAAGCTTTTCCTCCCATCCTCCTCTTGAACTCTAAAATCCCTATACCCATAGCCATAGCCACAAATAACAAATCATCAATATCCCAAACTCAAGCATATCCAACAACAAGCCAAGCACATGCATTCTCATTTGCTAAACTTGTGAATCTTTAGCTCCCACACTCCAAGCTCTCATGCCAAGCTAATATAATCTCATATCTACATCAGCAAGTCATCTTCAACTTTTCGTCAAGCTGCCGGAAACGTCAACATCAAACACGCAGCCGCTGGAAGAAGAACAGAGTACCCCCCTAGGACATGCTTTTCTCTCGGGATACTTTGGGCCTAGTTCTCGCTAACTCAGAAAAAGGGGCAACGAAGGCTTAATCCACCACTCTATGGCGGTTCGAGAATCAACAAGCCCGGACGAGCCTTCCGACAGAAAAAGACCCTAACAACAAGCATGAAGAAGTTATCTGTAAGTGGCTGCTATTTTAGTTGGTGAAGGTAACCAAAATACTTCCTAAGGCCTTGCTGCATTTTCGAAGTATTTTGGGGCTTAATTTTCGAACTCAGACAAAGGGTACAATTTCATCAGCCTAGCCCACTTGCTGCCGGAAGAAAAAGGCCCCTATAGAAGCAAAATGGCAATTGCTTGTCGGGAGTGAAATCATGTATGGAGGGAGTTGATGAAACAAAATTGCTCCCATTTTCCTATAAATAGAGAGCTACGGCAGAAGAGAAAAGTGTGCAGAATTTGTGCAAGAGTTTTGGCACCAAAATAGATAGTAGTTTAACAACTGGGGAGCCGAGAGGCAAAGATCCAGGGAGAGGAAAAATGGCAATACAATTGGAGAGAACCTTGGGGAGCCATGAGGCAAGGAACCAAGGGGTTAAAGATGCAATTTTTCCTTCTCCTCTTTGTTTTAGTTTTTCTTATTTGTTCTTCATTTTTTATATTGTATTGTTATTTTATTTATGTCTAATTAAACTTTGTTGTTCTAGTTTTATCTTTCAATTCCCAACTATTATGTTCTTCAATGTTTATAATTTCACATTCACATGATTAATAGGTTAATTTTCTTTTCACCACTTCTATCATGTATTTGTGGTAGTTAGGAATACAAGTTAATCTATTAATGCATCCTTGGTTTTGTATTACTAATATACAAATTTCTTTAATCCTTTGTAGTTAAACAATACTTTTCACATAGGATGCTTAGAATTTGTAGGGAAGAGGAATTTACATAAGATTCATTAAAATGCATGCTTAATTGATATATCTTGAGAAAGTAGTAGATTGATTTCTAGATTGCTACTCAATGGGAATTGTTAGA